ATTTATTATGAGGAATTGGTTCAGGAGATTATGAAGATGAAGACGCCCCACAGTCTGTCATGTGCAGGCTGGCAACCCAGGAAAGCCAGTGGCGTCATTCAGTCCACGTGCGGAGGCCTGGGGGCTAGATGAGCTGGTGCTGTAAGCCTCAGGCCAAGGACAATGGGCAGGCGGAAAGAAAGAAGGGGCAAATTGCTTCTTCCTCAACCTGTCGGTTCTGTTCGGATCCTCAGTGAGCTGGAAGTCGCCCACCTTCATGGGGGCGCGGTGTCCTTCCCCCCGGCCTTTGCCAGTTCAAACGCCACCGTATGCAGAAACGCCCGCACAGAACACACTAGAAACAGCGTTCAATCCAGGCACGCCGTGGCCCTGTCAAGGTGACACATGCAATTAACCGTCACACAGCTGCAAGGTGGTAAGCAATCACATGCGGTTCCTTCCCCATAGATGTTCCTCTGCTGGGGAAGTCACTCTAGAAAAGGTATTCGGCCAACTGTGGCCCTTGGGCCACACATTTATTCTGTTTTTACCAATTCAGATCATCCACATGTATGTGAGGAAGGCCCCTTGCTTCAAAGATGTGTTAGGGTAACATCTCCAAATTGATGTTTATGTGTTCACGAGGAAATGGAAAGAGAAATACAGTGAAAGAACTCAGTTAATTAGAATGAGCGTTGTCATTTCAATATTGACAATTTTTGAAAACTCAGACACATTTCAAACACTACGAAAAGTGGTAATTAAGGAGCTTCTTGAATCCAAAAAGTTAAGGAAAAATCCTGACTACTCTGGAATCCTCCTGGGGTAGGGGGTGGGGCACCAAAGGAAGCCTCCAGAAAGGTGCTGGCACTTTCAGACATTGATATCCTTCAATGCTTTAAATAAAAATTGCTCTCATCAGAGACCACTGCTAAGCATTCATTCATAGCTGTGTGAAAGCTCTAGGTCTACTCTCCAAGACAAACAAAAAGCTCTTTAGAGGTTTCTGGGAAACAAACATAAATTACAAGAAATGTAGCAGTAATTATGAAAATTCAATATGTTAGCTATACAAGAAAAACAGTGAGACCTATGGGGGAATGCGTATATTATGTCTGTATACAGGAAATCCTTGGCTTGATTTGTGAGCCATGCTCACTTTTTCTGACTTTTTTCCCCTAAATAAAACCTACAGAGTAATAACCAAAACTTGTATTTGCAACCAAAGATACACTGTAACAGTTGGCAACAATGACAACCTGGGTTGCTATTAAAGGTAACTCAGTTGACTTATTGACTTGGAAATGCAAAGGATCATTAAAGAAGTCAACCAACGAGGAACAACCTGCCCTCCTATCCTACTCACAAACCCTCATCCAGTACCATTTAAAGACTGAGAGGTATTCACATAAATCTAGTTTGCAACCCTCTTTTTTTCTTTGTTTTTGAAAGAAATGACCTGAATTTTAATTCAGTTTGAAATACCCATGCTTGCTATAAAGCATGGTTCCAAAGTAGCAATTCTATTGACACTTTGGTCACGTAATTCTTTATTGTGGGGAACTGTCCTGTGCATCACAGAATATTTAGCAGCAGCCCTGGCTTGTACCCACTAAATTCCAATAGGACCACCACCACCGCTACCAAGTCGTAATAACCAAAAATGTCTCCAGACCTTGCCAAATATCTCGTGGGGGGCACAGTCACCCTCATTTCAGAGCCATGGTTATAGGGAGACTTGTCACAGAAAGAAGATAATCTCAGTCCAGATTTATTGGAAGCAACATTCCAAGAAGCTTCAACTAATCCATTTTAGTCCAAAAGACAAAAGAATTCCCCAAATGAAACATTGTTATAGCTTTTCTATTGCATTTATCTTTATATCATTTATAAATGTTTGAAAAGCATATCTCTGTGTTTTATTTTAGTTGCATTTTATCAGAAATAACTCTGGATATTGTTGTGGTAGGAGATTAGATTCCAAGGTAGGGAGTGGACTTTCTAAGACAGGGCTTACAGAAAATTAGAAAATTAAGCCTGTGATGGCTTAATTTGTCATGACTCTCCAGGAATCAATTAGGTTTCAAATCAAGAGTCACTTGTAAATTAGACCTTTGTCTCTGTTGTTTCACCTCATAGACAATAATAAACGGTATTGATTGTTTAAGATCCCCAAATACTTCATGATCTCATATGTCCTAAAGGTTTCTTAAGAAGAAAGAAATCAAGGACAAGTTAGGCACTAAAGATAGAAGAAAGGGCAGATTTTGTCCCAAAATTCTTCCTAAGAATGATTCCCAGGATCAGGATTGTGGACAGCAGAGCAAGGAAGGCCAGTATCTCTGCCTGTGCTCCCTGGCAGAATGTGAATATCAAAGTCACATGCCTACGAGAAGAGAACATTCCTCGACACTAGGAAAAGCAAAGAGTTAACCAGACCTCTAGCCAAGGAAAACTCTTCATGTGCCACAAGAATGGAGGGGAAAGGGCACCCCTCAAATCACCATTTGGATGTGGCAAAGTCTAACATGTAACCAAAACGCTTGTACCCCCATAATATCCTGAAATTAAAAAAAAATAGAATTGTAAGTAAATGTAATCATACAGGGAAAAAAAAAGAATAGAAATGAAGCAAAAAGGAAAACTACGTGACTGTCCATGAAAGAAATCGACTGCAGCCCCGGCTGGTGGCAGAAAAGCACATCCACGGCTAAAGCCCTTTACCAGACTCATCTTTCCAAACAAGCAATTCAGTGCACAGGAAGGGCACGGTTGGGGCGGGCAGCGGTTCTTTTTCAGAGATATTGCAATGTTGATTTTTCTTTCCTATTGTGCCAGCCATGCCTGGTGGGCTACTTGGTCCCGTTTTGTGTTAAGAAACTGCAGAAATGCAGTCACCATAGCAAGATCTCTGTAACAGCATGCTAGCTGTGAAGGTCACCTGGGATTGGATCAACACGTGAGTGTAGCCGCGTCAACTGCCTTCATCTTTGCTTCTCTTGTCTAGACAGACAGGTTTTGTTCAGTCTCTCAGGAAACTCCAGCGAGGCCCCTTCTGCAGGAATGTGCCCAGCCACAGAGCTCTCGGCCAAGAAGGAAAGCTGGAGGAACATGCTGGCGCTAAAGGAGGCGCACCGCTCTCCGACGCTCTTCCTCACCACGGGTCTTCTTTGACATCGAGAGACATGGAAGCAGCTCACGCAGGGTCTCTCCTGTCAGGGTCTGGCTGCAGTGCATTACCGGATTTCCGGAACTGCTTATTTCTCTTCTGAGCCCAGGCCGCTCTGAAGAGGCAAGGCCTCCAGCTTGGCAGAGTAAAGGGTTGGTTTCTTCCCAGAGGGCTAGGGGAGATTCGGAAGAAAGTAGGAAGGCGCCAGTGAGAAGTTAATTTCCCTCATCTGAGAGCATTTTGAGGGCAGAGGCTGGTTTTTCCATTTCTATTCCTAATATTCAGCCCAGAATTCTGTATGGACTCAGTACAGAATTGATGTAAACTGAACCGAATTGATTGCATTATGTATAATACCTTTGAAAGAGACTTAATTAACAGCTTTAATTATGCTAAAATTTAGAATAGACATCTAAAATATTCATGAAGAGCAAACCTTGAGACTGTGTGAGGGACAGAGGAAAAAACCACTGGACTTGCAATCAAACCATTCTACCTCTTACCGGTAACATGCCTTCAGGGAAGTCCTTTTGTCTCTCTGAAGCTTAGAGAGATCTCATTTTATCTGCAAAATGGGATCAAGAATAACCTTCCTACTTCACAGACCATTGTGAGGGGCAAATGCTGAAACAGGCAGAAAATGCTCCACAGCAGATGTTACTACTAGGAACATATTAAGTTGGTAGAAGGTTAAAGACGTTGAAGACCAGCCTTAAATCTCAAATACCTTCACACCAGTGGGATGGCCTGAAATTTCACTAACCTGGTTCCCCAAAGCAACTTCTTGCCTTAAGAAAATGCTCTGGGAAAAGTAAGAGCGCCAGCTTGCTCTGGGGGTAGCTGATAGAGCAGGAAGGTGGCAAGGGTGGGCGAGGGGAACAGAGCGCTCAGGGCTGGCACAGAGCACCCGCGTCTAGGCCAGCCCCACAGGCCAGGCTGTGTCTCAGAGCCACATGCTCTCTCAGGACAGTGGGCTCCAGTCCATTCTCCAGCCCCATGCTACCTGGGACTGGAGTCTGGACCAGAGACACCCCAGCAGGCACACAGCAGCCATCACAGAGGGACTTCATAGCAATCTTCCCGGTGTGTGGGGTAAGGGCTCCTCACCGAGACCCCGTATTCATCAGAACTCCTCCCGGGAGACCACACCTCTAGGTCGCAGCGTGAGCCTGCAAAGGGCGTGAGCCTGCAAAGGGCGTGCTCCAATAGAGAGCTTTCAGGAAAGGGGCTTCGGTGTGGCTTCTAGGGATCTGTGGATTTCTGTTGTGTTGACTGGGTCCCTCTGAGCCCAAGGGACAGAGAAGCAGAGCACTACCATCAGCCCTTTCCTGCCATTTCCCCTACTCAGGGCCTAGAGCCTTGGCCCCACTTCTACGTGAATGTGAAGCAAAGAATACTGATTTGGAAAGGCGCTTGTTCTAGATGCCCACGTGTCTCAGTCCCGCCTGGCCCTCAAGCTTTGCGCGGAAGCCCCACCTAGGAGGGCGTGTCTGTCTGTGCCCCTCAGAACGGACCGGAAGCTCCCCCTGACAGAGGTGCGCTCTCGGGGAAGGTCCACTGCCCCAGCAGCGAGGGTGAGGTGGAGCTGGGCACTCACCTGTCTCCGGGCCCCACTCCAGTGGCCTGAGCTTAGGAGAGCAGCTTGCCACCCCCAGGCCTGATTCTGTCTGGTGCTATAAAGGAGCAAAGGACTCATAGACACCTTCAGAGCCATTCAACCATTCCAGGTCCTGACCTATAAAGAGAATAGGAACAGAAACTATCACCTCACACTCACTCTTGCTGCACCCAGGTGGCAGAGACAAATGTGCCGTGTTTCGAGTCAGTGGTTTGCACTCTGGTGGTGTCCTGCGGGTGGTGACAGGTGTCCTGGGCCACCGCAGCCTCCCTGCTGCAGCGTCCCCACTGAGGCACAACGCCCACACACTAAAAGCAAGAGAGCGCCTCCTCGTGCATGCCACTGCCGACGAGAGCTCTGGGAGGACCAAAAGGAAGACCACATCCTTCTTGACTGCCACCTGTGTGCTCCTGAGCTACAGCATCCATTCCCACCTTCATTCTCTTGCTCATGCACTCACCCATTCACCCTTCCATGGAGATTCACGCACACCTTCTGTCTGTCAGCACCGTGTGGGGGACTGGTGGGAAAGCACAGCGGCGGGCACAGTGACAGGTAGGGATGGGTCACGCAGGGTGCAGCGGGGAAGGAGGGCAGGGACTGTTCAGACAGCCCTGAAAGACACTGCAAATCTTGTCTGTCGTAAGAGCGGTGGAAGCCACGAGAGCACCGTGAGCAGGGGAGGGAGACGCTCACGTCTGCATTTGAAAGAGTTGGCTGTGGCTGTCGTGTGAATAGTGAGGGGGTGCACAAGATCCCAGGGGAAGGTTGGGAGTGGTTCAGACGAGGAATTGGGATAACGTGGACACAGGTGGTTTTAGTGCAGCTGGGGAGACAGATATGCTCAAGAGATGGTGAGGGGCAAATTGACAGAACTCACACATGTGTGCGAGGGACAGGGGTCATAAGGACGGACTATGGGACTCTAGCAGCAGGACTGGATGGGTGCTGGCCACACAACAAAGGGGGAGACACCAGGTGAGAGCGAAGGCAGGACCTCCACTTGGAGTGCCAGCAAGAGAGGCCTTCAGACAGCCAAGCAAGGGAGGGCGGAAGCTGCGACGTACAGGGTGAAGTTCAAAGGAGAGGCCTGAGCTAGAGTCATTTGGGGATCGCACACTGAACCGGCTTCATGGGCTTGTGGCCGATGTAGTCACAAAGGACTTCATGTTTAGAGGAATCCTGTGTTTGGTATAGCGCTTTGTTGTAACCATCTTGAAATTTTTGACCGAGGAACCCCAGGTTTTCATTTTGCACTGTCCCACAAATTACTTAGGTGGTTTTTAACATGTCATATCAATAGGGTACTGACAACAATTGAAGCCACAGATGTAGATTCATTCATTCACTCAACAAATATATATTAAGCACTCAAGGTGTTCCAGGCATTGTCCTATGCACTGTGAAACAGCAAAGAACAAAGGAGACAAAAGGACCTGTCCTCATAGATGCTATAGAACAGTAGACGAGAAAAATCAACCAATTAGGTAAATTAGTACAAATACAGTAGGTGAGATGGTGATTAGCCTCAGAAGATAAATAAATACGCAAGGGGGGTGTTTAGTCTGCTAGGGCTGCCGTAACAAGACACCCTGGGCAGGGTGGCTCAAACAACAGAAATTTGCTTTCTCCCCGTTCTGGAGGCTGGAAGCCCAAATCAAGGTGCCAGAAAATGCAGTTTCTGGTGAGTCCTCTCTTTCTGGCTTGCAGACAGCCACCTTCTTGATGTGTGCTCTCATGGGCTTTTCTCTGTGCACCTGGAGAAAGAGAGCAAGCTCTCTGTGTCTCTTCTTATAAGGACACCAATCCTGTTGGATCAGGGCTCCACCCTTATGATTTAATCTTAATCATCTCCTTAAAGGAGATCTCCAAATACAGTCACATTGGAGGTAAGGATGTCAACATATGAATTTGGGGAGACACAATTCAGTCCATAGCAGAGGGTGTAGCAGAGACTATTAGCTCTCCCCCAAGATCCCCTGCAGCTTTGGGGGACAGTTCCCATGCATGCCAAAGGCATTTTACCTCAAGCTTCAATGTTTTCCTATGGAAATCTTAAGGAATGAATGGCTCTAGGAGCAATCCTCAAATAATTAGAGAAAAATGATGGATACACCCCAGCTTCCTTGCTCCTAAGAAAATTCCGAGATGTGGCCTACCTAGTTTCTCACAGCATCTCCTTGTGCCCACAGCTGTGACAGCTCTTATCAGCTTTCATTCCTTCTTCCCCTTTTCACTTCCCTCATGACCTCACTATCCCTCCTGAGAGCACCTTCTAAAAATCTGCTCCACCTGTTCTCTCATGGTGTGTGTGTGTGTGTGTGTGCGTGTGTGTGTGTGTGTGTGCGTGTGGCTGGGGAAAGTCTCTAGAAGGTGTCATTTGAATAATGTCCCATGAGGAAGGTAGGAGGCAAACAATTTCTGTTGTCTGAGCCAGCCTGTCCAGGGTGTTTTGTTGCGGCAGCCCTATCAGACTAAAACACCCCCCGCCCCTTGCTTATTTATTTATCTTCTGAGGCTAATCACTATCACCATGGAGCTAAAGTGGTCCAGGCAGAAAGAAGAGCAAGTGCAAAGCCCCTGATGTGAAGTTAGCTCAGAGTTCTAGGTGCACCAGTGAAACTAGAACCGAGAGACTTGGGGAGAATAGCAGGAAATGGGATCAGCTGGGTAATGGGAGGCCAATAAGATAGAAATAGAATGTGAGCTACAGATATAATTTTAAACTTTCTAGTAGCCACATTAAAAAAGGAGCAGATAAAATGGACTTAATAATATATTCTAGAAGAAAAAATAATAATAATATATTCTATTTGTCAAGATATTTAAAATACTATTTTTTAATATGTAACCAATATAAAAGAAATTATGATACATCAACCTGAAGTACAAAAAACAAAAAAATAAATAAATAAATTAAAAAAAAAAAGAAATTATGAAAAAGTTATTTTACATGCAGCTGTGGTCCCAGCTACTTGAGAGGTTGGGGTAGCAGGATTGCTTGAGCCAAGGAGTTTGAGGCCAGCCTGGGCAACATAGCAAGACTCTGTCTTTTAAAAAATGATGTTTTAGATTTTTTTTTCATCATTATATCTTCAAATTCTGGTATATGTTTTAGAATTATGGCACATCTCAATTTGGATACTCAATTTTTATCCATGTTCTGGACTAATGTGTGTTCTCCCAAAATTTGTACGTTGAAGTCCTGACCCCCCAGCATCTTAGAACATAACTCTATTTGGAGATGGGGCCTTAAAGAGGTGATCGAGGTAAAATGAGGTTGCTATACAATCCTCTGCTGCTAAATTTGACTGGTTTTGAAAAATACAAGGTAAAATGAGGTCATATTGGTGGACCCTGATCCAATATGACGGTGTCCCTGTGAGAGGAGGAGATCGGGACACAGACACACACAGAGGGAAGGCCGAGTGAGGACACTGGAAGAAGACGGCCATCTGCAAGCCAAAGAAAGCAGCCTCAGAACAAAACCAACTCTGCCACACCTCATTCTCAGACTTTGACTCTCCAGAATCATGAGAAAGCAAATCCCTGTGTAAGCCGCCCGGGCTGTGGTGCTTCGTTACGGCAGCCCCAGCAAACCAATACAACCTGTACTTCAATTGCTAAGTCTAAAAACTACACCAGATTCACGGTTAGAAAAGTAGATTCATACACACACATAAGTTGTTCCAAACACGCTTAAGATGTCCTCGTTTACTGAGGTTCCATTTCAAGCGCTCGATAACCACGTGTAGTTAATGGCTATATGCTGGACTGTATAGCTCTGGAGCCTGTGGACCGTAAGAACAACTCTGGCTTTTACTCCAGTTAAAGTGGAAAGACATGGGAGATGTTTAAGCGGAAGAATGATGGCACCACACTAGCTGCTGTGATAAGAATAGAGCAGGGCAAGTATGGAAGGAAGCAGGAAGCCCAGTGGGAAGGCCCGCACAACAACTGAGGAAGAGACAATGGCTGCCTGCTCTAGGGAAGCAGCAATGGAGGTGGTAAGAATTGGTGTGCTTGGGGACATATTTGGAAGTATACCTGGCAGGATTTCCTAGTGGACTGGATGTATGATGGTAAAGGTCAAGAATGACTGCAACTTTCCCCAACTTCTGACTCTTTTAATAAGAGGGTTTTTTTAACTGAAATATAATTCATATACCATAAAATTTACCTTTTAAAAATATACATTTCAGTCGTTTTTAATACATTCACAAAGTTGCATAACAATCACTACCATCTAATTCCAGAACATTTTATCACCCCCAAAAGAAACTCCATGCCCATTAGCAATCTTTCCCAATTTTCCCCTGCTCTAGCCCCTGGCAATCACAAATCTACTTTATGTCTTTGTGGATTTGCCCATTCTGGACATTTGGTATAAATGGAATTATACATCCTGTGGTCTTTTGTGTCTGATTTCTTTCACTTAGTGTGATGTTTTCAATGTTCATCCATATTGTAGCATGTGTATGTTCATATACACTTTTTGTGTGTGTGTAGAGATATAGGGGGGTTTTTTTGTTTTGTTTTTTGGGGGTTTTTTGTCTTAGACATATACCTAGGAATGGAATTACTAGGTCATAGAGTAATTCCATGTCTAATGTAGAGCTAACTGTATTTCCAAAGCAGTTGTACCATTTGTACCACCAGCAATGTATGAGAGTTCCAATTTCTCTACATACTCACCAATTCTTTTTATTGGCCTGTCTTTTTTATAATAGCCATGGTAGTTGGTGTAAAGTGGTATCTCCTTGTGGAAATTTACATTTCCCTAATGACTAATGATGTTGAGTATCTTTTCATGAGATTACTGGGCACTTTATCTTCTTTGAAGAAATACCTATTCGCCCATTTTTAATTGTGTTATTTATCTTTTTATTGTGTTGTAAACTCTTTATATTTTCTTCATACTAATCCTTTATAACATATATTATTTGCAAACATTCTCTCTTTCTGTGGGTTGTCTTTTCACTTTCTTGATAGTGTCCTTTGAAACACAAAAGTCTTTATTTTGATGAAGTTCAGTTTATCTATTTTAGGGTTACTTGTACTTTTGGTGTTGGATTTTGTCAATGCTTTATTTGCAACTTTTGAGATGATTATGTGGTTTTACCCTTTATCCTATTAATATAGTGTGTTATACTGATGGATTTTCAAAGTATGTTGAACCAACTCTGCATTCATTGGATAAATTCCACTTGGTCCTAGTATTTAATCCTTTTTTATATGTTGCAGGATTCACTTTGCTTATATATTTTTTAAGATTGTTGTGTCTATATTCATTAGAGACATTGGTCTGTAATTTACTTTTCTTGTGATGTCTTTTTTAAGTTTTGGTATCAGAGTAATACTACTCTCATAGAATTAGTTGGAAAGTGTTTCTTCTTTGTATTTTGGAAGAGTTTAAGAAAAATTGAGGTTAATTCTTCTTTAAACATTTGGTAGAGTCACCAGTGACTCTATCTGGGCCTGGCCTTTTCTCTGTAGGAAGGTTTTTGATTACTAATTCAATTTCATTACTTGTTATACAACTACCCAGATTGTCT